TGCTAACTGGAGTCAAAGGCTCATGTCAACAGCTAATTCAGTCTCAATATTATGTAGCTCAGCTATAGCCTTGAATCGCAGTGTGTCCTCCGCTCCACTTCCCGCTGATACCGACCACCTCACCTAAAGGAGAATGAGCAGTAGAATGACCCCAAGTCAGTGGCCATAGCAACCCCGAACCCTGCCAGCACAAACCTCAGGAGGACCGACAGTACAGATTCCCCACCAGACCAGCAAACTTTCTGTTGCTGCTGGTACATAGGTAAGTCCTGGTGGTGCTGCTGCTGCTGGCCACCAGATGCTGTGACACCTGGCGCTGAGAGGTTGCGCCCATCAAATTAGAGCCACTACAGCTGCTGACCAAAGGTCCTTCTAAGGAGCTGCTGCCCACTCTCATCCCGGCAAAAGTTGTCAGCAGTGGTGGAAAGCAAGGCAAAGGTGCCGTGGGGTAGGCAGCTAGCTAACTGTATAAATCAGTGTATGGGATAGACTGGTTTACTGTATGGAGCATGAGCATATGACTGCAGTCGTCTGGTGGGAGGAGCTTAGGACTCAGAGAGAGGAGAGTTGCAGGAGGAGATTGTATTTCTAAAATCTTACCAGATTTCTTCCTACCCCAGCTTTAGGGTGAATCCAGGAAGTAACTGCACCCCGCCAGGCTTGCTGTTTTCCCTTGTTTCCAGTTTTTGTGCTAAGCTAAGCTCAACAGCCTAAGGTAAGAGGTCTGTAGCTTCATATACAGTTAGGTCCATAATTATTTGGACAATGATACAGTTGTCGTCATTTTGGCTCTGTACACCACCACAGTGGGTTTTAAATGAAACAATGAATACCTGCTTAAAGTGCAGACTCTCAGCGTTCATTTAAGGCTTTTTTCAAAAATGTAGTATGAACCGTGTAGGAATTACAACCATTTCTTCACACAGTCCCCCGACTTTAAGGGCTCATAAGTATTTGGACAAACTAACATAATCATCAATTAAACAGTCAGTTTTAATACTTGGTTGCAAATCCTTTACAGTCAATGACTGCCTGAAGTGTTGGACACATAGACATCATCAGATGCTGGGTTTCTTCCCTGGTGATGCTCTGCCAGCCCTTTACTGCAGCCGTCTGCACTTCCTGCTTGTGTTTTGGGTGTTTTGCCCTCAGTTTTGGCTTCAGCAAGAGAAACCCATGCTCAGTTGGATTCAGGTCAGATGATATGACTTGGCCATTGCAGAACATTCCACTTCTTTGCCTTAAAAATGTCTTTGGTTGCTTTTGCAGTATGCTTCAGGTCAATGTCCAACTGCACTGTGAAGCATCGTCCAATGAGTTTTGAAGCATTTGGTTGAATCTGAGCAGATAATGGTGCCCCAAACACTTCAGCTTTCATCCTGCTGCTCTTGTAAGCAAGACAAGACTTCACTAGAATAAATACAGAGGGTTTATCACAAGATGCAAACCATTGGTTAGCCTTAAAAATGGAAGGCCAGATTAGAGTTTGTCAAAAAACATCTAAAAAGCCTGTACAGTTGTGGAACAGCATACTATGGACAGATAAAACAAAGATCAACTACCAGAATGATGGGAAGACAAGAGAAGGAAGAAGGGAAGGAACTGCTCATGATCCAAAGCACACCACCTCATCAGTGAAGCATGGTGGAGGTACTGTTATGTCATGGCCGTGTATGGCTGCCAGTGGAACTGGTTCTCTTGTATTTATTGATGATGTGACTGCTGACAAGAGCAGCAGGATGAAAGCTGAAGTGTTTGGGGCACCATTATCTGCTCAGATTCAACTAAATGTTTCAAAACTCATTGGACGATGCTTCACAGTGCAGATGGACATTGACCTGAAGCATATTGCAAAAGCAACCAAAGACATTTTTAAGGCAAAGAAGTGGAATGTTCTGCAATGGCCAAGTCATATCATCTGACCTGAATCCAACTGAGCATGCGTTTCTCTTGCTGAAGCCAAAATTGAGGGCAAAACACCCAAAACACAAGCAGGAAGTGCAGACGGCTGCAGTAAAGGGCTGGCAGAGCATCACCAGGGAAGAAACCCAGCATCTGATGATGCCTATGTGTCCAACACTTCAGGCAGTCATTGACTGTAAAGGATTTGCAACCAAGTATTAAAACTGACTGTTTAACTGATGATTATGTTAGTTTGTCCAAATACTTATGAGCCCTTAAAGTTGGGAGACTGTGTGAAGAAATGGTTGTAATTCCTACACGGTTCATACTACATTTTTGAAAAAAGCCTTAAATGAAAGCTGAGAGTCTGCACTTTGAGCAGGTATTCATTGTTTCATTTAAAACCCATTGTGATGGTGTACAGAGCCAAAATGACGACAACTGTATCATTGTCCAAATAATTATGGACCTAACTGTATATCATACGACCCTGAGAGTGGTCTCAATCTTCTCATATAACCCTCCACAAGAAGGCAAATAAGCATATTTCCCAAAATGTCAATTTACTTATTCAAAAAAAGACTGTACTGTTATCCATAAAACAGAAACAGATTAAATGTGCTGCTTTATATGGCAGCAGTTTAACGAGACAAAAACAGAGAAATGCTATTTACATGTAAAACTAACAAACATGTGGCGACAAATCGGTTTTCTTCTAATTGCTCCGACTGAATGCCAAATGTTACGGCACAATCTTTAAAATCTGCTGGGCAAACAATAAACCATAGAGATGCCAACACAACTGGTTACTCAATATCTTGCAGTAATCTCAGTAGTTGTGACATCACACGCAGTGTTTTTCAAGCCAAGGACTATTTTCCCCAGAGAGCATAAAATCAATTGCTCAAGCCTGAGGTCTTTTGGTCCATTACTTTGTAATCATTTATATAATGTGTCTGAGGCAGTTATTACACAGCAGGTCTGGCACACACTGCCAGTGTAACAACAAAACATAACCCCGGTCCATCTGATCTCACCAGTTCAAACACATTTTACTTGCGTCATTAAGAGGGTGATTGGTGGTTATTACAAGCTACTCTCCGTGAGAACGTCCAGATGCTCTTCTTGTCAAGGTCAGGATCAAAGCTGGACAGGGAAGAGGGGGAGGAGGGGGTTGATTTTGTACCCATCAGGCACTTGGAGCCTCCGCAGTGACGTGGCACCTGCAACCAGGGAAGACACAAAATGGAGTCCCAGCTGGCCTCACACCGGTGTGAGTCAAAAGGCAGGGGGAGGAGGAGAGAATGCTTCAGGCTCGATTAGGCCCGCATCCTATCTCCATCTTCAGCCCTGAGCTCCATCACCCTGAGTCATTAACACCAAATTCACAGCTGCCACTCTGGAGTATTAGCAGGTGGAGGCTGAATTTTGCTGCTTTTTTCTTGGGGACGGGGGGATGGGGGTTCGCAAGAATGAAATAGTCATATACCTCGATAACATCCTCTACTTTACACCCAGCGTCCTTTTTCCATTTCAGGATTTGCAGAAAACCTGCCTTTCATGTCTCGTGCTGGTGACAAGGAAAGCAGAACTGACGTTTGCATGCCTCAGGAGGTGGGAAGATATGAGTGCTGCCAGAGAGATACACCCACCTTTTTCTACCTCATGCTGCTGAGCAGACCAGCATGCACCTGTCCCCTCTGGCTGTGAACAGACTGAGAGGAACTTCAGGTCGCCTCTGCTGTAGTGAAATGCTTCCAAACTCCACCTAGCTTCTTTTTTTTGGTTTTGTTTTGGGTGAAAAGATGAGACAGTAAGAAAAGGAAGGGTGAGGAAGAGATGGAGAAGTGATAGGTAATGAGAAATGACTGAATGAGTTCAAAGCAAGAGAGGGCGGGGGTTAGTGGGGGGAGGGGACAGACAGATTGGGATGTGAGAGTGAAAGATAAGCAGATAGCCGGCGTGTGAATGGGAGTGACAGTGACAGAGTCCCATGCAAAGATAAACAGCCCGGGTGCAGCCCCTGTAATGGCTTTGCACGAGTAATTTGTCACTCCATGTGAAAAGCAAACAGCAGGGAAGGCAATGGCAACACTTTGCACTGACACTTACCATCGCCCAAGGATGTCTTAGGAAGCTTTTCCATCTGTCTACAAAATTGGTGCGGCCCTCTCCTCTGGTCAAGAGACAGAATAAATATATGCCTCTGAGAGAAAATTTAATACAATTTACATTTTTTTTCTGCATTTGCTGTCAATCAAATTTCAGCTTACAGATGACAGAAGTTTTGGTTGGATATTTTACTTCAGGGGGTCCCGTACCATCCTTTGACCTGGGATCAAGTGACCTCCTTTCTGAAAGGTTACAGATTCTTCTAAAGGTCACGTACAGCAGTATCATGTGTCTTGATACAGGACACTTAAAGCAGCCTGGGATAAACACAAAGGCAACACTGAAATCTCTGTATGAACAAACTGTTCTTATTTTCATTTGCTGGCAGTTCAGAAACATTAACACACTTTGCAGTTTTCAAATCGCTCAGTTCAGTTACAGCATATGAATCACAGGATAATGTCGACAAAATAAAATATTTTCACAAAGTCTATAAACAGAAACTTACACCTCCAACAAAAACCAGGTGCTGGAAAATGGAAATTGACTAGCCACCATTTTGGAGAGAATGACAAGAGAAGTGATTTTGAAAACATAATCTAACATGTGAGCACTGCCATCTTGTGGGTGTTTCTAAAACTACACACGCTTCTGCTCTTAAGACAAGACACACCAGGTGAAAACAGGTTTTTTTATGCACTGGTTAATTTTTTTATTTTGGGTTATTTTGCTTTCCTAACATGTCTTCTTTTTAGACTAGTGGAAAGGAAATGTCCAAAATACAAATTTAGGTGTTTATTTAAGTTCAGATTACTGGACTGGGGGGAGCTGACATTGGGCGAGAGGCAGGGTACACCCTGGACAGGTTGGCAGACTATCACAGGTCTGACACATAGAGACAGACAACCATTCACACTCACATTCACACCTACGGGCAATTTAGAGTCACCAATTAACCTGCATGTGTTTGGACTGTGGGAGGAAGCTGGAGTACACATAGAAAAACCCACGCTGACATGGCAAGAACATGCAAACTCCACACAGAAGGGCTCCCCCACCCTGGGTTCAAACCAGGAACCCTCTTGCTGTGAGGTGCAACAGGGCTGACAACAGAAATGAAGTAGTAGTAATGACATAATGCAACAGATGCAATGTATGAAGGTCCGCTTGCTGCAGTTCATTTACAGGCCAGATGCAGCCCCTTCCTTGGGTAAACTAAGGTTAAGAAAATGTAAAGAAAAGGACAAACAGATTCAGGCTAAAAACAACACAAAAGATCAAACAGACATGTGAGTGCAAGTGTGGTGACATATTGTGTGTGTCTGTATAAAGTAAATGTAAATGTACATGTATGTGACTAGTGGATCCAATCAAAACCCTTTGATGATATATAAGCCATTGCTTAAAATAATACCCTTGGTACATGCACGCAAGTTTTTATGTAGAATAATGTATGCTTCCTTAAGTCAAGTGATGTGTCAAACATGTGGGGATGAAGATGAAACTAAGTTACACAGTTAGATTATTCCTATAAAATAGTTTATATATCATTCATAGCTTGATTTGTAGAACATTTTACTCCTAAGAATGGCAAAAATTTATTTTTTTCTGGCTGCTGACTATATTTTCTGATTGATGTGATAAAAAGAGAAAAGCAAAATTCCCTTTGACTTTAATATGACAACAAAATGAAACAAAGATTTTGAACCTGGCTTTATCCAATGTTTCAGAAAACGTAACTTAAGTAACTGTCTTACCGTAAGTCATCAACTGGGGAAGTTACATGGTGATATCAATTAAAGAAATGTACCCTATTCACCTGGCGTGTCTCCCCTTAAATAATAATTAAAAAAAAAAAAACATTAGTCACAGCAGCTGTAAATTGTTTTCATGGCTGTTAAGTACAAAATATACATCCTTAATGTGTTCATGTACTGAAAATAATTGGATTTTTGTTCCCCTTGAGACATAAATCAGCTTTTAAGAAAATGCAAAAATGCTACATAAAACATTTAAATCCAGCAGTTCAGATTGGTGGGAAAAAACACAATTTTGTGAAGGCATTATGTTTCACCTCCTCCTCCATGCAATGAAATAATCATCAACCTATTAAAATGCTCTCTGCAGTGCCCCCGAGCTGCTGCAGGTGAGAATGCAACACCCTCGGCCTTTTCCCTGAGATGGGCAGAAGCTCGCCGTTAGCTTTCATTTGGTCTATTTTCCTGGACAGGTCGGCGTCGCTGTCGATGACCAGGGTGCACCTGTGCGCGTAGCTGACCAGAGTCTCTTCTCCTTGGCGAAACATGCCCACCAGGGGGACCATGTCTTTGCCAGCCATGTGGAGCTCAGCGATCGATGCCGTGTTGGCAATGGTGTTCCGGTCGATTCCAAGATGGCGGAACGCTTCACTCATGCTCTTCTTCTTGATGAAGGCTGACAGGACTTGTTTGTAGCGATGGATAACGTACTGGACACCGGTGGCTGGTGGAATGAATGGAAAAGGTCATTACAGAAGTGATGAATAATATTCAGACAAAGTTGTCACATGTGTGAATTGACAAAAACTTAAAAAAACTTCAACTTTCAGAAAGTGTTTTTCATGCATTCCTGTCTAACTTCATCTTACTTATTAGCAATTTTACTTTTTCTTCCTTCATAATTCTACGTGAACTAGCTTATGCTCCCTACACAAGATTACGCCTATTTCAGTTTCATACAAATAAATTAAAAGACATGCTCTAATTCACTGACTAAGCTCCATTAATCTTTTTACTTATGTATTAGAAATTTGAAGAGGGAGGTTTGTTTTCCTAATCTAACATCCCACAACTATTTTTTGCCCTGACAACTGTAGGATTGTTATTTAGAATTATTAAAGGGAATTGACTTGAATCATCTAGGAAGAGTTTATTGTGTTTACATTTACAAATAGTCAGTGCGCATTCCCAATATACCAACTTTCTCGTACTTGTTCTTGTTGTTACGACAGCTGAACTTCTGAGCACAACATTATGCAAACCCTCTGCTGCTACGATACACAAATTGTGTGAAGGGTCTTTGTTTTTTTTTCACAATTTTGCCTTGAGGATACTGTTGATGTTACTGACAGCAAAACATACAACACAAATACACTGAAGATCTAAGAGTTTTTCTATGCATACAAAAGGCTCATTTCTCTGAAATTCTGTGCAAACACAAAGTCTGACACCCTTACACCTTTAGACAACAACTACCTACAAGACTACAACTAGATTCCTTCTGAGACTATTTCCCATCCTGCTCCTGGTGGAAAATATTTTGCCAAACTCCTAAGAAATATGCTATAAACAATTCCTTACGTGTCTGCAAAAACACAGAACTCTAGAAACAAGGTAAAAGGTGTCATATGTCGACAGTGTTCTTGTTAATTCTGCATCAATGTAATCTATAAAAATGAACTGCATAAAAACTTTACATTTTGGATTTTGTTGCCTGATCTTGCTGACAGCCTTCGTTGGTTCCCTCCGGTCATGCTGCGGCTAACGCTCTGCTAGCCGATCCCAGCTAGCCCCGGTTCTCCGTTTGGATCCAAACGGAGAGCCGGGGCTAGCTCAGAGACTAGCGGAGGCTAACTGGCTGTGCTTCCCTCTGGTCATGCTGCGGCTAACGCTCCGCTAGCCGCTCCCAGCCAGCCCCGGCTCTCCGTTTGGATTCTAACGGAAAGCCGGGGATAGCTGGGAAGCTAGCGGAGGCTAACTGGCTGTGCTTCCCTCCAGTCGTGCTGCGGCTAACGCTCCGCTAGCCACTCCCAGCTAGCTCCTGTTTGTTATTCGGGTTAAAGTTGGAAGATGCAGTGGGTCTGTGAGCAGCTGAATGAAGTGGAGCCTGAGGAGTAAGCACCGGTTAGCCACGGTTTCACTACAGGCAGATTCACTCGCTACAGGACCGAGGAAATAAAACCTGAACAGCCAATCAGAGTGATCTCTCTCACCGACAAGCTCTGCCGGCGATTCAACATGGCCAAAAAGCCGCCACCGCCGACGCCAAAGTGCTGACGGTGCAGGACACACCACACAAACTAGGCCGACAGACGCTCACCAACGGCCCGACTTTGGTCGACGGCTGACCATCGGCTTGGTGTGTCAGGGCCTTAAGACAGCTCAGACTGAGCTTTTTTTTACCACCTGGCACCAAACAATCAAGATCGTTACCTCAACTAAGGTAAAACTCTGATTGGAAATATGTCTGTGACACAGAAATCACTTGAAAAGTCGTTTAATATAAGGCAAACATTAGTGAGTTCTTTGCCAAGATAATCCATCCATCTGACAGGAGTGGCAAATCAAGATGCTGATTCAACAGCATCATTACTACAGTGCCTTGGGCTGGACACAATAAAAGGCTACTCTACACCGAGGTACCTTTACAATGACACAACATGAGTATTACCTCTCTTCCTGCTGTAGTCCTTCCCTTTCTTTGATCTTTTCTTGTCCTTATGGTGTTTCTTCCTTCTGTGTTCACTCGAGGCCGCTGAAACTTCAGATGAGTCTGACGGTTCTGAGCCGCTCTCGCTGCTGTCAGAGGAACACGAAGAAGCTCTCTCTCTCTTCCGAGACTTGTTTTCTGAGTGCTGCACTTTGCTGGGTTTAGGAGCTATGCATGAACAACAGCAAAAATGGCCCAAATGACGTAAATAAGAGCATCCAATAAGTGTAAATATTTTCAAGTCAAACACTGCTTCACTTCAGATACTGACCTTCAGCAAGTGGACTGGGTGATGCAAAAGTTGGCATGGAGCGGCTGCTTGTGAGGTTTTCAATTTGGCTCCTCAGGAACTTGCGGTCTTGCATCAGGTCCTCCACCTGCCTCTCCAGTGCAGCAATGCGCTCCTGTTTGCTCTCCAGCATGCACTGCAGCTTGGTGATGGTCAGCAGCACCCGCGGGGGCAGGCTTTCAGCATGTGAGCCAGCTGGTCAAAGAAAAGACAACCATGTGGAGTGAGTGAAAATAGCTTCTTCAGATATTTCCTTTGGCACAACACTGTAGAAAAAACTTATCTTGTGATGTAGTGTGGTTGTTTCTTTAAGCTAGAGCTCTGATTCTCTACCTGAATCCACCTGGATCCGAACCAATCTGCCGGGTTGGGGATGGGCTGTGATTTCTCAAAATTCTCTTAGGCTTGAATCGGATTCGCCCAAAATTCCTTTTTTCCCCCCTCCCCCCAGCAGGCTAGACAGATTCAGCGATTTATTTTCATTTGTGTCATTAACAGGGACAATACCAACCCGATTTACAAGAAAAAATGTTGCCATTACATGTTTCAGCAAACGGAAGATACATTATATTTGCATATTATTATCTAGCAGATAATGTTGAAACAACAATAAGGTTTAACGTGTGGTTATGTTTAGGTGCCAAAACCACTTGGTTATGGTATGGGGAGGATTATATTTTGGCTTAAAATACCTTGTTTTGGGGGCAAAATCCCAGCAAGAAAAGTAGCAATATCGTGGTAAAAAACACCTACTTTTCATGCCACAATTCCTGCCAATGGGTCATTACAAAGCACCCACGTTTGGAGCCCAAAAGCCACTGGTACAACACTGATGGTTTCCCACAAAAACCCACTTTTGGAGCCTAAAAGGTGCTGGAAACCACAAATGGGTTGCTACAGATCTCTACAAAACACCCACATTTGGAACCTACAAGATACTGGTGAAACACACCGGCAGGTCAATACAGTACACTCGCGTTTGGCAGAAAAAGTTGCTGGAAAAACACCAATGACTCACAAAAACACATCCATTTTTGTTGTTTGTTGGTTTGAACAGTGGTCTGCAGCTTGGCAGCTGTCTTGCCCAATACTACATTCCTGCAGTAGAGGAGGCTGCACTTTCAGGACCACAGTTTCAGGACTGCAGCTCTAGGACCCCAGTGTTTTGCCACAGTGCAACCCACCAAATTGAATGGCTGTAAAAGTGCAAAGTTTTTACAGTTTTGAGGGTTTGTTGTATTCAGTTCTTTTAATAGTTTCTAAGGTTTATTCCATCAAAACCCCCCATGACCCTCAAGAGGATAAGCGGTTATGAAAATGGATGGATGGATAGTTTTAAAGGGTTATTCCATCCAAATACGACTTTCCATTTCATTTTTTTAATTGTTTTATAGATTTGTTACATACAAATACGACTTTCTATTTCATTTTTATAGTTTTAAAAGTTAATTCCATCAAAATACGACTTTTTATTTATTTTATTGTATAGTTTTAAAGGTTTATTCCACCCAAATACTTTGTCATAGTTCTAAAGGCTTATTCCACCCAAATACTACTTTGCCTTGCAATTCAACTTGGTTGCTAAGACAAGGCAGTAAGCAATTTGTTTAATTAGCAACATTTGCTCAGTATATTCAGAGAAAATAAAAACTGCACATACAGCCTAGGCCTCTGTGTGAAAAGTACCCTGAGACTTCTGAAATGATTTGGTGTGATGTTAATAAAGGTAACTTGACTAGATGTCAATCAGATATTTTTCAAGTTTAGAAAGAGGCAAGACACAAGGATGACTCTTGGGGCACATATATTTATTGTACACAGGTTCACGTGTGCGCTTGCGCCAGACCATGAGACATGGGCACCGTGTTCATGTGTGTTCACATGCTTTCGCTGGTCCTGCGCGCAAGCCCACACACATGAACATGGTGTACAGAGAGGCAGTCAGAGCTACAGGCTACAATGAGGCTAAAAACAAGTTCAAATGACGTTTTTTCCAAACAACTTTTTATGTCAGGGCTTCAGGACACTTGGATCACTACAAACGAGCAGTATGGAGATATTCTGTGGTTTCAATTATGTGTTTTTGGACATTTGAATCTGGGGCGCCGTAAGCCTCCATTAGGTGGAGTTGTGTTGCTACCCCCTCTCCCCTGGGATCTCCGCAAGTGTTGTGAGGACTCTAAAACTTCACCTGAGCCTCCATCGACATATGGGTGAGTAGATAATGGCTGAATTTTCATTTTCGGGTGCACTATCCCTTTAAGTGAAATATCGTAGGCAACTGGACTTGTTTGAGTTTCTTGATGACATTTTACCTCTCCTTTAATGAGGTTTCTTCAGTTCTGAACTGAAATACAGTTCAGTGAAATACATTTCTGGTGTGGTGCACAGGAGATAGAAAAAAAAAGACAGCATAATTGGTCAAAATAAGATTCCGAGATCATTTCACAGACAATTAGGCCTGAGCCTAGCACTGGACCAAAAGAAACTTTGACTCTTTTGTCCTGGTTTAAGCTTAGTTTGTGTCCCTTAAATCACTTCATATTTACCTTAACATGATAGAACATGTGGTAATATGTAGCATAGGCCTGCAGAATAGGCAGTAATACCTGTTAAAAAATGCCACGTCTCATCCAATATTACACAACTATGTCAATCAAAGAACTCTGCCTGGTAACATGTATTGTGGGGAACCGGCAGGATGCACAGTTGAAGACTGTTTAAATGTTATAAAAAAGGTGAATAAAGAGTATTAAACAAGCATTTACACTGACGTCAAAGTGTAAAACAAATAAATGCACTAAAATCACATCTGCACCTCAAAGAAAGACTTGGGGCATTGGTAGCATAGTGGATAGTGCCGGCACCCCATGTACAGAGGCAACGCAGCGGTAGCAAGTTCAACTCTGGCTTGCAACCATTTGCTGCATGTCACCCCCTACTCTCTCACCCTGTTTCACTCTGTCCTGTACATTAAAGGCAAAAGCCTGAAAAATAATCTCAAAAAAAGAAAAAAAGACTAGGACAGTAGTCAAATTTGACTTGTTAATATTATTTGGCACAAGGACATATGAAAATGCCCTCTTTCAGTGTATATCCTCACAATTCACTGTCAGTATGGGGTTAATGATAAGTGACTGCAACCACCTATATAACCTGTGTTGTGCTGTGTTGATTGTGAAATTAACAGAATAGGCCTACAGGCTAAGTAGACCTTGTCTGAAACGCCCATGTGGCGTCCATGTAGCTAAAATAAATGCAAATATAAATAACATATTCGTAGATTGCAGAAATGTACAATGGCAACATTTTATTCTGGCGACTGGGCTGACAACATACATGTTGTTAAATACTAAGAGGTAATGAAGTAATGCAACAGGTGCAATTGTAAACAAAATGTAGACAAAACAGATTCAGGCTAAAAACAACACAAACGATCAAACAGACATGTGAGTGCAAGTGCGGTGGCATAATGTGTGTGTGTGTGTCTGTATAAAGTAAATGTAGATGTAAATGTATGTGACCACTGGATCCAATCAAATTCCATTTACAGTAACCTTTGATGATATATAAGCCATCGTTTCAGAATAATACCCTTGGCACATGCACACAACTTTGTATGTAGAATAATGTATGCTTCCTGAAGTCAAATGATGTGTCAAACATCATGTGGGGATGAAGATGAAACTAAGTTACACAGTTAGATTATTCCTAATGAATGGGTTTTTTTTAAAGGGGTTGTTATAAGAGTGTATGTGCATGACAAAGACTTAGGACAAGAGAAAGCTTCAGTTCTGTGGGATGAAAGTAAAGATAATTTTCACAGACGTGTCCTTTTTTATCCTACAACTGACTACTATGTATATGTATGTATATAAGAAGAGAGTGGCGGTTGGAGCTACAGGCCTTTGAGGGTTCTGTTTACAAAAATGTTCAGCTTTTACTTAGACAACTGAATCCCAAAAGCAAACACACAAATTAGAACAGTTCATCTTGGCCTTATCTTACCTTATCTGGCTCTCTTTTCAGACAGACTAAAGACTGTATACACTAAATATACTCTACTACAGGCAGAGATGGAAGAAGTACTCAGATCCTTCATTTAAGTCAGCTTGATCCCCTCAACAAAAAGCCAGTGGGATTTGGATTTTGGATTATTGCAGGAAATATGCTCTGTGGCAAACCAAAGTTTGATATTCATACATTTTGTTCCTTAAGATAATCTTCACAAATGAACTCCACTTTTATGATTTTTTAAGCTGGAATGCCTTTGCCAGAAGTAAAAAGCTAACATTAGACTATAAATGAACACCACCACGGGTGAATGACTTAGGGTCCCTTCCAAAACAAGGCTGTGAAGTCATGTTCAGTGTGAAGGCAATCTGTGGTCTAATTTAGCCACTTGTTAGCAACCGCCTTTTATAAGATATGCAAAAGCTTCAAAAATCATGGGTTGGGTATTTACTGATGTATTTTATGCCTTAGAACAAAACATAAAAGTCTCTTAAAATTGTGTAAATCACAGACCTTGTTTCTGGCATCTTACCAAAACCGGACTCATTTCTGCAGAATGTCACGTCATGCATTGGTTTATGGACTCCTGTTCTGAAGCCTCGAGTTCGGCATTTTGGCCCTCGCCATCTTGGGTGTTTTTGGAGCCGGGAGTGACCATATTTGGGTGAGAGGCTGGAGCTGTGGAGGAGCAAGAGGTGGACCTGACTGAGAAGCCGAGGTCACTAATAGCAGCCAGTCTGTTGCGTAAAGCAGCCAAGCCTTAATTATGAGTAACTTTAGGCCTTAATACAATGTAAACGGTGGGTTTACCATGGGGGTCTATGGGGATTTACTAGTACTACTACTACTACTATTCAGTCTGTATGGCCCCCGCATGCCTGCACGCACTTTCGACAAAGTCTAGGCATGCTCCTAATGAGTCAGCAGATGGTGTCCTGGGGATCTCATCCCAGATCTGGATCAGGGCATCAGTGAGTGCCCAGACAGTCTGTGGCGGTACTTGGCGGCGGCGGATGTACCAATACATAATGTCCCATAGGTGCTCAATTGGATTTAGGTCAGGGGAACGAGAGGGCCAGTCGATGGCATCAATGCCTTCATCATCCAGGAGTTGCCTACACACTCTGGCCACATGAAGCCGGGCATTGTCCTACACCAGGAGGAACCCAGGGCCCACTGCA